GGAGCGTTTCTCCTTCACTTGATCAAATTTGGTGAAATTCTCCTACCATTACAATTTCTCTATCCAGAAATAGGGTGTAGTATTTCAAGAGGCCATTTCTGGATTGCTCTAGTTTTACTGTAGAAATGTAGCAATATATAGTAGCTTGTAATCCATTTGAGAAATCTCCTTTCAAAAGAGAAATAATTTAATACAATATAAATTATGTATGGATAAAACTCCACTAAAATACAGGAGATATTAACCTTTAGACTGCAGGGTTGAATGGAACAGTTGATATAAACATTAAGAGCTCTCTCCCTCTGAAGCTAGGCAGCTCCTTAGTATGCACCTGAGGTGAGAGCAATGGAGCAAGATGAAAGATCACTAGAATACAGTTGGGGGAAGGTTTATGTCAAGCCCTGCCAAACACAGTCTAGAGCCTACTTTGAGCCTACTTTGTAGCAAGGGTGTTGACAAAGAGATTTCTTTTCTACTACCATTGCATCCTCTCAGTGTTTTCCAGTGGAGTTTTTTTCCAAGTGACACACAAGCTTACTGAAATCTGGTCCATGGATGGATGGTGGAATCCTTAGTAACACTCCAAGACAAGTTTATGCAACACTTAGAAAGTAAAATTGCTCACATCTCCAATGATATGGACACTACATTTTGTGCAGTCCCATCCAAAGTACTGACTGATCTAGTTTTATTGTACAACTTTCAGTTGTTGAGGCTGGAGGATAAGGTCAAGGTCTGGCCAAGTTTAGGCCAGACTTATTTGTGTTTGATCCTTGCTCTTCTTGACTTACTGAAACTAATAGGGAATACCTAGACGTCTCCAAGAAGCTGTACATTCTTTCTTGAGAAAGGAGATACTAGACTTTTTAGATGGAGCAGTTAACAGGTCATTCCAAAAAAAAGCCTAACTTGTATCTAACTATACGCTGGTTGCCACTATCACCTTCCTGGGCAAGGTGCATGAATGGGGTAGTTACATGTCAAGTCCAGAAACTTTTGAATTATTTAGAACAGCCATCTCCAACCAGGTGACCTCCAGATGATTTGGTCTTCAACTCCCATCAGCTCAGCCAGCTTCGCTTACTACAACTGGGAGTTTTAGTTCAAAATATCTGGAGGGCAGCAGCTTGGACAAAGCTCATCTAGATCAGTTCCAATCAGGATGTTAGAATGGAAAGTGCCTTTATCAGTCTGTGGGATATCTTTTGTTAAGGACAGGAGTTCAACCTGTGAATTCTATTGGATTTCTTAGTATCTTTCGGTACCATCGACTAGAGTATACATCTGGATATCTTATATGGCCTGGCTGTTGGTGGTACTCCATTGTAGAGGTCCCATCAGTGGAAGACTGATCACTAATTTAAGATAAGAAGATGAAACTATATTACTGGTAGAGAGTAGTAATAAATTGAAATGACTCCTGATGGAAGTGAAAAAGCAAGTGTGGGAGCAGCTGAATATTAGGAAAACAAAAATAATGACTGCAGAATTACAGAACTGTGCTGTTTACAATGAAGGCATTGAAAATGTGAAAATTTTTACATACCTTGGCTCAGTCATGAATTCAAAGGGGGAATACAGCCAAGAAATTCCAAGAAGACTGAGACTGGGAAGGGCAGCAATAAAGGAACTAGAAAAGATCATCAGCTATACGGAATGTTTCACTGGAGACCAAGGACAAGATCATCCACACTATTCTATTCTGATGGCTATGTATGGATATAAAAGCAGGACAGTGAAGAGAGGACATGAAGAAAATTGATGCATTTGAAACATGCAGCTGGTGGTGCGAATACTCTTGACCTACAGAAAGGCAAACAAGCAGGAAAGCTAGATATTTTCCTGAAAGCAGAAGTGACAAAACTGACCCTGTCATACTTTGGGCACATCCTGAGAAGGCAAAACTTCCTGGAGAAGACAAACATGCCAGGCAAAGTTGAAAGCAGAAGGAAAACCAAATATAAGATGAATTGAATCCATTAGAACTGCTGTGTGGGGTTGTCATGGATAGGATATTCTGGAGGGCTTTCATTCATAGGGTCGCAATAAGTTGGACATGACTTGACAGCACACAACAACAAAGATACCAGTTCTCCTCGCATTAACTTGTTATATATGTAACACACAATGGAGCAGATCCAGCTCACTGTTCACACACGCTTCAAGATCAATGAAGAACCTCCCTGATGAAATCTGAACTGCAGTGTTCTTTCAGCCTTTGAGAAAGCATGTGAAGCCTGCCTTTTGAAAGGGCCTGAAGCAGCTGAATGTGCATTTTGCTTCTGTTGTACTGTTGCTATAGAGTTCTTCTGAAATGTATATTACTTGTGACATTCTTTATTGTTAACAGTATTGGGCACCACCTCAGGTTTTGTAGAGTGCAATACAAGCTACCCAGGTTAAACTTTAAAATCAAAATACATTAGAACTGGCCAAAAATCTTAGAGGTTTTAAACCAAAACAAGAGCTAGGTTACTAGATAGTAAGTTACTTCAAGTAGGTTCTTTAGCAGTATTGCAGGTATCAGTTTTATAGTCAGGCATTTTCAGCTCTGGAGTTATTTTGGAAAATGCAGTTTCTAATATGATGATGGCCACATATAAATAGCAGCTTCCCTTGTTGCCGCTACAATTTTCCATGTCATGGAAAAAAACTCTTTTGAGTTCCAGGACAAGGAATCCATTTGTGAAGAATCCTCTAGCACAACAGCTACAGTGTTAGCTGCACGATGAATTTTCTGGAAGAATTGGGTCATACAAGATAAAGCAAATGGTGTTAGCTAGAGGTTCCTTGTGTTAGCACAAATGTAATCTGAATTAGTGGAATGACACCACAGGATACCGCCCAACCTACTGCTGAATTCTAATTAATGGTGAAGAGGTTAAAATTCAGTACAGTGCAATTAATATAGTAAGTCATCCTTTATAATTATGTAAGAACACAATGTAATAAAATTCCCAAGAACTTTCAGAATATATGAACAAATGAGTGCTTTAATTACTGTCACTCTCATCAATTTGGCTAACTTTATTAGCAAATTTAAACATTCAATTAGAATACACATTATCTTGTTGATTTACAGATCCATTTAGCAACATTATTTGGTGTATTTCAGTTTTTATTATGTAGAATTAATTTACTTTGTTGAACAGCAATGTAATGGTTATTTTAAGTTTGTTTACATTTGGAATTTTTATTTTTAATTGATATGCTATATAATTCAAACATGTGGAATAAAATGCTATGCAATTCAGTGACCTTGCAAATACAGTAAGAAGCCCTCAGAAACCATATGTCTATATGCACATTTGAGTGCAATACTGGTATTAAAGTATGAGTGGTTACATTTATAGTCATGTTGCAATATTCCAAGTTCAGAAGCAAAAATACAGCTGAAAAGTCCTGCTACTAGTGCATTTATTTCATTTGTATTTCAAAGGCATCCATTTTTTTCTATTCTCCCTTGTAGCGTGGGGGTCTTTTTTCTTTAAAAGCAAGAAGACCTTCAATTCTGTCTTTTGTTGGAATAGTCTATAACAAAAAATAATAATTTTCAGTGCCCATATTATAAGTTACAGTTCCAAAGAACTTGTCTGTCCAGAGCTGTTAATTTCATTCATAAAATACACAGAGAAATCTAAGGAAACTTGCAAGTTGAGCTATGATAGCAAGGTGCTCTGCAGCTGTTTTAAATCAATCACTCTCTTCTGTACCCAATGTTTCCCTGATTATCAGTGGAAGGGTTAGCACAGTGGGGTCAGTTCTACATAGGATGCTCTTTCTGCACTGAGAAGAACAATAAAGGAAATACTTGGGGTTTCCTAAGTCTAGCCTTCACAGCAAGTGAAATGTCCATACATCCTCTGCCTAGCAATGGGTGAACTTTCTCAGCATTGCTTTTAAAAGGGCTTGCCCAAAGCAAGCTGATTTGGGCTCGATTTAACATGGGGTCAAACAGGCAGGTTTGAAGCTCAGGCCCTTCCAAGTTGATGATGAGGAAATACAAAGAATACAAAGTTGGAAATCTGCTTTCCAACCAGCCTGCCCCTTTTTCTCCCCCCTCCTCTTCAAAACATATCCAAAGATAGTAATAACAGCATTTCTAAATTACTTCAGAAGGCACGGGAATATATCCCACTCACTTCAACATGAAGATACTAGATCAGAGATGCATCATCAAACAACTGAAGATAAATGAACAAGGTCTGCTTCGTCCTGACAAAAATATTGCAATGCTCAAAGGAGGTATTTGTAGATTGCTTCTGGTAAACCTAAATACTATCAGTAGTATAAACTAGTTTGCTATTAAGCATAGAACAATGAAATTGCAAGCCACAGATTACCAGTATTTGAAGACAGTAGGATACTCATAAGCTTTGATTCAGGAAGGCTGCTTGTTTTTTCACATAAACTGAGTTACATACCTGAGCATAACAAGCTTCCTCAATGGCTAAACCTGTTAGGAGGTCTACCTGTGTAACAAAAACATAAAATGTATTGAAAAACAAATTTGTACATCATAAATACTCCAAATGTTTAAAAAATCCTTAGCAAAGATTTCCTTTATTATTACAGAATTACATTGACAAAAAATCCTTCAGAGATTTCCTAAGGAGAAATTGTACCAATACACATCTAACCTGTTATTTTTCAAATTATATTTAATAGAAACTGAACATAAAGATTACTTTATGATACTGTAATTCTGGCTGCTTTATGACCCTATGTAATTTCAAGGCTTGCACAGTTGCGCGCGCGCTCTCTCTCTCTCTCTCTCTCTCTCTCTCTCTCTCTCTCTCATATTACATAATGCAAGGAAACATACAGGTGCATATTTCAGGATACTGTGCTCATTCAAATCTTGGGGCATTTTAAAAAAGCATAGTTTGAGAGTTCAGTTTGGGAATCCATTTCAAGGAAATCTCACCAATAATTATGTCATTCATTTGGGTGTTTCTGGTTGCTATCTCTTAAGAAATCTGGAATACAGAACTATTCATGTTTGTTCATTTTAAAAGCATCACATATATTGATATAAGACAATATAGATCAATATCACATTTTCAGAATGTCAGGTCAAAGAAAACAAGGTAAGTTGGCTTTTGACCAACTGCCTTCCAAAAGCAGGGGAAAGGACATTAATGAGCATTTGGGATAAACCTCATAATATTAAATTCATCGTATCTATATACTATTTTCAGAATAATAGTGTAAAAATAAATCAAATCACTGTTGTTTTTAGCCAAGCCAAGGGCAGTATGTGAAGCCTAAGTAACAGGAACCAGGAATTTTCAAATGGGCAGGTCAGTAGAGGTCAGAGAAAGAAGTGAGTTCATATTGCATTAGAATCAAGTCCTGCTGGCACATCACAACTAGTAGACATGCAGGACCAATGCAGGTTATTGTCCAATCTCTGTACGTCTTTAAGTTTCTTTATTTGCATTACCCATATGCCTTTGCACAAAGATATGGATATATTATGAACAAACCAGTGATTCTTGAAAGGACAAAGAAAATGTACTCCAGGATACTAAACTTAAACAGTCCTACTTTATTAACAAATGCTGTTTTCTAGGAAAGGTGATTCTATGGACAAACAGATTATTCTTCATTTGAATGGTTTTTAAACCGAAGCTGAAACTAGATATGATGACATACTTGCATATGGGAACTGAGATCCAACATCTATGAAGTATGTGCTGCTGCAAAGGTGAGCTGCAGAGTAATACCAGTACTTCCCATATCCTACTAAAACATTTCCCAGCCAGTTTTCTCTCAATGGAGTTTTGAGACTAGAAGAAAACCCCACCAGAGAAAAATGGCTAGGCAGAAGCAATGTCAAAAGAAAGCTTTGGTATGAATTCCACACTTGGCTATGCTTCCTATAATTTCTCCAATCCCTGCTTTATAACTACATTAGGTTATAAAGTAGTTATAACCTACTGACATAACTACATTAGGTTATGTTGCTTTCATATTTACTTGCCCTTTAAACAATACAGTTAGAAAGCAGGCACAAACATGTTTTCTTACTTCCATTCCTTGATTGATGGCCAGTTTTGCAACTCTCATTGCTACTGGTCCCTAGAATTAAAAACATACACAAACCAGAATTTATGATAAAAATATTCAAATATTAACACCTCATTTTATCACCCTTCCATCTGATAGAATTTTGCAAGGTGACAGAAGCCAGACTTCTACAAGTCTGTTAGATTTTTGGGGAAGATACCACATCTGACGGATATGAGTTGGACCATCCATCTCTAAAATCATTGTAGCACACTGATCTCAATAAATGTGTGGTTGGGTTCAACAGTACTGCATGTTAAAGGTATCTTCTGCTCTGGGGAGACCTTTGTTAACATCTCATACAAAAACAATTCCAGAATAAAATTTGAATTAGAACTACAATATTACAACCTGAAGTCTTTTAAAATGTAGTAAAGATACTACTTTAAAAAGCAGTAAAGATAGGTGCACACACAAATTGTACTTTCTCCTTCTCAAATTATGGTTTTATAAAATCATAATTAGACTAATCTGTTAGTTGAGGGTTATAACCCTATGCAGATTTAGGCAGATAAAGACCTACAGCCCCCAGCATGCCCCAGCCAGTATAGCTGGGACTTATAAGCCTTTTTTCTATCAAAACTTGAATAGCATGGTGTTTTAAATCACTCAGCTTCACCTTGGGAAATAAATAAAGAGACAACAGGCCTGTCCAATTATGTTAAACATAGGCACCAACATTTTATTTCACATAATGCGTCTAAGTGCCATCCTTTCTGAAATTCCTGCTCCTCCATAAAGCAGCAAATTTTAAACAACAGTATTGTTTTATTTAACTCTGATTGTGTGCTTATCCAACAATATATGTGCCCTTGAGGCTCAGAAGATTTTACAATAATAAATATTAAAACAGTAAAAACAACACAACACTGATCTTTGGAGCAGAGAAAGAAATAAAACAGTGAATAATGCAGATAATAATAAAAACATGAGCAATGAATTAAGTTTCCAACGCTGAAAAAAGAGAGGGAATGTGTGAATGAATAAAACACCAAAAAGACAACAAGGGTGGTGTCAGGCATTTCCACAGCAGAGATGGTAACACAAAGAAAGCCTCTGGAGTAGCCATACAGGCATCCACAGGAGAAGGCCATCTTCCAGGCAACTTGAATACTGCTATTTAACATTCAGAAAGCGTACCACTATTCTGGCCTGTTTGTTTCACTTCTCACCATCCACTTTTTAATGCAACCACCAGGCATTTGCATCAAATGTTTTTTCAGTGTTAAACTCCATTTCTTTTATGATTTAAACAACTGAATTATCAATATCAAAACACTATACTATCAAAACACTATTGTTCAGATCTGACCCTTTCCCTTTTTTTTGTTCACTATTAATGTGCTAGAGGTTGGTTTTAAAATGGTTATTTATCAAGATCTTGACCTCTGAATGCTGGACCACAATTTAAGAATGAGGGTAAGACTATTTTACTCATGAATTAACAGCACTTTTAAAAGTGTTAATTGAAGCACATTACATTAAAAGCTATGTACTACTAAAAACAAGCACAAGCAAATTTTCAGACAGGCACACACTGATGTGAAACTTAACATACACACTACTCAAGAAAGATGCATATAGTTCTAAAATAATGAGGAAATTAATGTTATAATAATCTTAAAACTAAGGGTTCTTCCAGATGATACCATCTAATAGTGATGGTACTTTGTACTATCTTACATTTTGTCCTTCATTCCTTTTTTCGTTAATATCCTAACACAATGCAATGGGTGTGCATGTGTGTGTGCGTGCATATACACACACTCATGCATACACACAGAATGACAGCACAAGAGCAACTTTATTAAATGCAACTGGACAGGAAAGAACATTAAATAAGCCCAAATACTTATGTAAATTTATTTATTTAAAACATTTTTAGACCATCCCTTACTGTGGTCTTGGGACGGTTTAACAATAAGACAAAACAGAATAAAACACAGCACATAAATTACTTCCTGCAAATACTGTTAGCTGGACTCAAGTATTATGAGCAATTGTTTGTCTCACCAGGAAAAGAGCTACAGAAATTAAAGCTAGGTATAGGTTCAAGTGCAGGTTATTCCACAGACATAATGGGCAATATCACATAAGGTGCAACCCATTATGGTAAGAGTTGTAGATACTTACTTGCTCACCACCCTCATCCCTTCCCTTATTCCTCCAGGCAGTATCCCAGGGAAACTACAGGAGCAATGATCCTCCCTGACAGCCATGATCATGTGCTAATATTGACTTGCTGCAGCTGTCTCTTTGGGTCCTCTCTTCAAAAATCAGCTACAGAGCCAGCTTTTGTGAGTCTCTTAAGGATCAAGAACAAGCTGCACCTTCAAAATGCTGAACCGACTGTCCATGCCTGCCCAGTGGTTAATGCTTTTGTTTCTTTTTTGCACTTGCCATTTTTCCCTGAATTGTTCATGTTGCACTAACATTGTGTGTTACATAAAGTACAGTGGGATCAATTCCAGCCTCAGCTGAGGCAACGTGCAGGGGGCAGCTGACTACGTTGTATCTCAGAAAATGAGCCTTGTTCGCACAACAGGGTCAGCTGTCACTCTGCACTAAGCACAGTCTTTTTGGATTATGGTGGCAGAAGGCAGCGAAGCAGGAGTTGGGTTGATCAACTTGAAAGTTGACTGATTTAGTCTCTTTTCTGTTCAGCCAATGTGAAACTTTTTGGCTTGTGGGTGGGCAGTGGGTGGCAGAGCTGGGAGCATTATCAGTGGATTCGTGAGTCAACCTATCTGATCGCCATCTCATTGCCAACATGGACCTTTTCTGCTTGTAGCAGTAGCATAGCGTGGTAGAGCCAAGCTTGATGCTACTGCTTACCACTTCATGCCATCATGGTGGGTCTGACTTCACGGACACTCTCAGGACAGCTAGTACTAGCCTGGCCACCAGTCACTTTCATCCACTGCAACCAGCAGCAGCTCAAGACAACTGACAGGGGTGGCAGGGAATGGGGGAAAGCTCTGATAACTGCCTCCCAAGTTCCGCTAGAGCATTTTAGGAGCAGCTGTCAGTTGTATTTGCTGGCCAAAATACATTCAATTGTTCTAGGGCTTGACTCATGATAGGGTATGTCATCTTTGGGCAATATAATAACCCACTCTGGGTCAAACAAACCCTACAGCAAACTGTTGATTCTGCTTATGGATACCAACCACAATAAAAACCAATCATAGATAAGTACAAGTAGTTTCATACAGCATGACAATTAGCTAATCACAACAGTTTAACAGTGGTTGTTGTGTTATATGAACCCAATCACTGAGTGTGGTGGTCAACTTATGTATTAGTCCAACTACACCAAACAAAAGCAATATTCCCTTGATCCACATCACTCCTAAAACAACACTAAACCCCTCTTTCCACATATATGAGTACTGGCGAGTTCAAGGAGAGGAGGGCTGGGGAACCTCTCTCACCCAGAGGACTAAATTAAATTTTGGAGAAAACACTTGAAGGCTGCATTCCAGGCTGGGCCAGAGGCAAAGGCAGCATGACAAAAGTGCATGTGCTGAGATATAAAAATGTAGTTTCAAGCTTTTATTGGCAATAACTAAGTCTTAAGAAAGGAATTTCAACCTTTTAGAATAGGTAAAACTTGCACAAAAGGCGGGAAACTACTTTCAGTAGTTGAAGGAAAGAGTGTGGAGCCAGGTGGAAGGGACATGACCATAAGGAGAATTCTGGAGGGCTTGCATGGGACCCCAAAAAGTTAGATTAGACCCCTCGGTATGAGGTTTCCCACCCCTGAAATAGAACATAGGGAGGGATGCATGAGTAAGTTCTTCATTCTTTACAACTTCCACAAAATACGTTCCATAGACTAATAATTCTAAGGGACAAAAAAAAGAACAGAAGGAATTGGGAAGTGTAGGCATCAAGTGAACATGCTCTTTACTTCAACCAGCATGGCACAGTATTACTGAAGTAAAACGGAGACTAGCATGATTTGATATATGAATCAGATGGGTTGTGCAAGGCCACCAGGAGAAAGTAACAAAATAGATTTCTATCACTCACTGAAATTATCACTGAAAGGAATTTAAACATGTGCTCTCTCAAGCCATGTGAAAGATCTGAAGACCTCTGACTACACAATATTACTGCTATTATGTTTATGCAAAGGAAGAATAAGATCTTCTCCATTTTGCACTTCTTTTTGCTTTCAAATCTTCTTGGCCTTATGCTTTAAGTTTATACATACAGTAATTTTTCTAAATTATCCAAATGAGTGTGAGATTACAATGAAATTAATTCAATGCACCTAGATCAGAGAGTAACCAAATATACAGTTGTAAACATTTACAGAAGAAAAATTTAAGTATATATAAAGCTACATACCTAAACACATTTACATGCATACAAATCCCATCAGTTAATGGAATTTGCTTGTGTTTAGAATTTGGGCCTCCAACTACAAAGTGCCTGTTCAATATTTTTTGTTCATGCAGAGAATCTGTAGATTTTAGTTTGGAAAATTGAACTGGGAAATCTAGAGACAAAGAAATAATGAAGAGAATTCAGTAAAAGCCATATCCTGCTCTAATGACGACATACAAATGTAGGTAAGTATGAATGCCGTATTTGAAAGGGTTACGCTTAAACAGTAATAGAAACCTCAAAGGCTTAGCTTCAATTCAACATGATAAATTTGTAACAAAAATACAGATGGATTCAAAGCTGAGATGACTCCACATGGGTAAAATATAATTCCCTAGACTGTGCCCAAGCAGCACAACTAGTAAATATGTGATATGGTTTATATTTGTCTTATCAGAATATCTTACATATTGTTTGCAATAATCATTTTCCTTTTTTGTAAGATTTCCCAATTCTTTTCTTAGTTTATTTTTCTCATTTATTATTCTCTATCACAATAAATTGGCAGGTTAAATAATACCTTCCATTTTGTTTGTACCTGAGGTAAAAATTCTCTTGCCAGGGCTAAAGCTCTTTTATAAGCAGCATCCCCTGCTTCATTTTGTTCTACCACATGATTGATCAATCCTATTGATTTTGCTTCTTGACCATCAAGTACACGTGCAGAAAATATTAGTTCTTTTGCCAGAGAAACACCAATTGTACGAGGCAGCCTTTGTGTTCCACCTGTAGTTTAGGGGAGAAGAAGAAGAAATAGCAAACATTGGTTATGCATTGTTTGGCCTGATCAGTTTCTCTCCAGAAATTGATAAACCAATTTATCTCCATAAACCAGATAAATAATTATTTATTATTTTTATCCCATATCTACTACAAGAATCCTTCAAATAGCTTGCAAAAATATAAAATACATAATACAGCAAAACTAAAGTAATTGCAGCAACATGTTCCTTTCCCTGGCCCACATCCCTCCAAAACAGTAATGGATGTAAACACTAAAAAAAAATTACAAAACATTTGAGGATTTGTACTTCACAAGGCAAAGGGATATGTAGAAGGGTCTCTTTGGAATTCTGTGTGCAGAAAAGTTCATGAAAGAAGAGGCAATCCTTCAGATAGTCATGTCTCAAGCCATTTAGAATTTTAAAACCTAAGATCCATTTTAATTCAGTCTAGAAATGCGGGGTAAATTAAATGTCATATAAGAGATGTTTCATTCATGCAACAACTTCATCTCCCCCGCCCCCCCAGTGCAGCCTTGTGCAAACCTTGTGGCTCCTTAAAGACTGCCAAATTTAAGAAGTTGTGTAAGCTGGAGTCCATGTAATCTGATGGTATAGGTTACATATGGCGAGGAAGGGGGAAATTATAAACAGGTCATGAGAGAAATGAAATGTGCAAAGTACAGACAGCGAAAATATGATGATGCAGTAAACACATGAAGACTATTGTTGTTAGGCAGGATGGCAGTTTATTTACTACATTTGTATGTTGCCCCATAGCCCAAATGCTCTCTTGATAACTCACAAAAAGAACTAAATAAAATAGCTGAATGGGTGTATAAACACATTTCCTAATAAGGGTCTTAACACCTACCACATACATTAAAGAATCAGTACCACTGGACAATGCAGCTAGCTATAAAGATGGTTTTCTGGTTAGACTTCTGCTCTCCTCCTGCCTGCTCCCTGGACTAAGCTGCTGCATTACTGAGAAACTGGGCAGGCATTGCTGTGACAAAGTAACAAGCTCCATCCACAGCTTTATTCTATAAAGCCTTGATAATACATTCCAGGTCAAAAACTCATTCAGGATGGTCCCAGATGATGGAGGCTTTTACATTCAATCCACATGGCATCCAACAGCAGAACATGAAAATCCACAGGGTTGCTCCAGGAGTTTGTTATTCAGGTGAAGGAATGGGAAGGAAGACAGTACTTACCATGGCTTGGTCTTCTAAAGCTTAATGTGGTTACCATATTTTATACTCTGTGAGATACACACATGTATCTCACAGAACAGCCACAAAGTATACTATAATATAAATTATATAATGTGCGATGTCAGAACAAACCTCTCTGGATAAATTCATATATTAATCTTCTTTACATAAAATAAGCAGCTCCCTCACCAATTAATAATTAAGAAGAAATGTGGATGCTGGAATTTTGCCTAATAAAGACATTAATTCAAGTTATTATAAACCAATAGACCAGTAAGCCAATATCAACTAAACATCAACTGTAATCAACCACAAAATGATAGTGTATGCTGCTGACTGATGTTCTACAACGATAATATAGAAGTGTGTATTTCCTGTCATAATCAGAAAAAGGAAGTAACACCCAATCTTTAAAATAACTGGTTCGAATAAACATTCCATCAAAATATAATGTAATAGAACTGTTAAATGTTTTGCAACTTCCACATTATTTAACAGAATAGGAATAACTATTTTAGGTAATCTGTAAACACACACAATACTAACTGTTGCAAACAGATATATAATACTAACATGAACAAATGTAGGCTTCGAACCATTCCTAATTTGCTTAGAATGAAACGCTATTGTATTGCAGCCCACAAGAGACAAGATTTTTATGGTTTGCCAGGCTGGTGCCAGCAATGTAAGGGGAGCAACGGAAGTTATTTTTCACCTTTTCATCTTTCTTTTATATCTGAGTGTACCCTGTCAGGGGCAGGCCCAGTGCTGGAGAGGCTTTTCTTCCCCACTCACCAACAGCCTGCTTTTTCTTCTTCCTCTTCCAAGTCATGACAGCAATTTCAGAACAGAAGCTACCACAAAGCTTTCCCTGGCAGCTGGGAGAGGAGGGAGGGGTGAAGATCTGAGTAGGGATTTTCAAATCTGAGTTTGTAACTCTTTCCACAGGCTTGAAAACAAAAATCCCCAGTATCTTTTAGACCATCATAAGAGGCCATAGGGCTGAATACGTCATCATTTACTCCCTTAATTATCAATTGGTATATGTCAGACAAATCAGGAAAAGGAAAATAAAGAATTATTTACTAATCTTTTTAAAAAAATTCTATTATCTGCTCATGCTTAAGATTAATTTCTTTTCATAATACACGTAACTCAGAAATCTCTATTTTAATATTTCAAGTGATAATTTTCCTTTTTCATCTAATAAATCAAAGTGTATAAACCCTAAACAACCAATTTTCAATCACTGCATAATGATGGATAAATGGGCCAAACATTAACCCTTTTGCAATTACTCAACAGCTATTTTTAGCATTAATTATAGTCAGAAGGCACTGTATAAGGCTCAAACTATAGGTGGCACAGGAGATTTGTGACTAGATCTTCCAGTGTCATTTTACCTCTTACAAGTAAGTGTATAGGGCGTGGCAGCTATCCATCCAAATTACTATTATGATTTGTATGAGGAAAGAGAGGTATCCATATTGTACCTTTTATCATCAATGCAATTAGTTGTAGCTTTGCAGAGGAAGCAATTTAAGTGAAAGAATGTAGGGTGAAAAGGTATAAGGGAAAAGGGGTAAAGCCCATGCCCTATTCCCAATTCAGTACCCACTCATCCCAGACACCATCTAAATAAATAAATCAAGATGGCCACATTGCCTATTGTTGGGCCCTAAGTTGCTCCAATATTAGCCACTAGGCCAAAGGAAGATAACCACTTCAGTTGCAAGGGCTACAGGGGCAGCGCAAGACATGAATGCATGCATGAATACACATAAATGAAATAACAAGGTGGCTACTAGGAGAAAGGCCTCTTTAGTTGTGGCACCTCAGCTATGGAACCAGCTCTTCAAAGAGGTGTGCCAGGTACCTACTCTTTAATTCTTTTGCGGGTCAGGTAAAAACCTTTTTATTTGCCCAGTATTTTAATAGTTAATTTTTATTCTCAATTTTAATACTGTATTTTATTTATTATTGCTGTTGTACCTCTGGACTGATTTGATTGTAGTTGATGCGGGCCTACAGTGCCCATTTTATTTGGGATTACTGTTTTATTGTTTGATTATTATATATTGTTTTTGTTATATGTTCTTTTTAATTTTATGAACCACCCAGAGACCCTTTTGACTAATGAGTGGTGTAGAAATGAAATGAAGTTTTAAATAAATGTGCGCATGCAGGATAAACCTGGAGTTTTTCTTGCTGGCACATGATCTGCTGACATGAGAAACTGGAGACAAGGGATTCCCTTGTAGTACTAGTCCTGGTAAGAGAAACCCCAGGTTTTCCACAGCATTATATAATGACATGAGGGATAATATTACTTCACTAGCACTAGCACAAGCTATGGAAAATCCTGGGATTCTCTTAATGCTAGCAAAGGAATTCCATCTTTATCTCCAGTCTCCAATGAGAAACTGGAGATAAGGGAATCCCCTTGCTAGCGCTAGCTATGGAAAGCCTAGGATTTAGTTCTAAGTAGATGAAACTCAAAGGCAGCTCTGCCACAATTTTTTTTTTTTTTTTTTTTTTTTTTGGGCTGGAAAGTCTGGCAGGTTGCCTGCAGGACAGACTTTTTGTACCTCTGCACAAAGCCAATAATTGGCTGCAAGTATATTTACTTGAGCTCCCTCAGCATCTATGTTTGAATAAAAATATTTGTATAAATAATACATGGACACATTTGCTGATATTAAAAACAACATAACAGAAACTAGCATAACAGAGAGTGTGATGTTAAGGAATGGCTTTCAAACAAATCTGATTAATAAACCATAAGAAAAGTAACAATGAACTAAAATGAGTGGGAGATAGTGTCTGACATTCTGTATAAGCGATGGAAAAAAATCAAATGACAAAACTTAGTATTTAGCATCTATGCATATCTTATTCTATAGATATACACAAAATATAAACATTCATAACAGCTTTTACTGAACATAAGAATGCCACACATTATGAAGGAATGTCATGTTCAACCCATTCTGCAAGAGACTACACTCCCTATTAAACTGGCAAGTGATCATTAATCCACCTCAGTTGTAAGAGGCCAAAGTGACTTCTGTGCCTTTCACCAACTAAGGCTGATGAGATAGAGTCAACTTCCTTCTAACAGAGACATATTCTGGTAAACTCCAGGCTCGTCTGGCATCTATGCTGACTTCCAAACTTCAGGCATAGCTCTTTTCAGGCTTTTAGCCACTTATTTTTATCTTAGTGATTAGTTTTAGCAGTATCCTGTTTGGTTAAAAACTGTTTTATTGATTATTGTTTTGCTTTATTACCTATTGTAAATCACCTTGGAAAATTTAAGTGGAGTGTATTTCACATTTTTTAAATATTTAATATTTATTTGCATTTGCTTTTATATATGATACTATAGAAATAGGCCTAGCCTCTGTGTCTGCTGGGCTAATAAGAAAAGAATAATCAGCTATTTAAAATAATTCATCATCTATATTCAGAAAATGTAAATATAAGAAGAGTTGCTACAGGACCCTTGTCATTCCTAGCAGTTTCTTCATATTGAAGACTTTCAGAGAAGTAATACTAATTCAGTTTAAAACCACAACAATGTAAGAAATTTAAAATATTTTATTATGCATCTTACAGTTACAGTTTGCATTACAGTTCCAAAAGATGATGAGCAAAGAAATGAGATATGAAACAGCAATGATCAACTACCAGATGGTTTTCCTTTTGAAGGAGAACAATTATTGGTAGGCCTGATTCACTCCACTGGCCTTTTAGCAGTAATTTCTTGGCACTATTCAATACA